GGCTGGCAGTTCAAACCCACCAGCCACTCCTCGGAAGGAAGGTTGGGCAATCTACTTCCATAGTGATACTGCCTCGGAAACCCAAAGAGGGGTCGCTATGAGTTGGATCCGACTCCACGGCAGTGGGGTGGGAGATGCAAAGAGATGGGAATTACCCAACAACTGGGTATTGTGGTTTATTTTTTCTAGTATGTGAAAATATTGATTTGCCTGCCAGTAGTTCCCAGTGAGCCTAAATTTTTGTTTGACATGTTTTGTGACTGTTTTCTTTCCTAATAACTCAGTTCCTCCTTTCCACAGCCCTTGGTAAGCACTAACCTATTTTTGTCTCAATGCTTTTGCCTATTTCAGATATTTCATATAAATGGGATCATACAATATTTGTCCTTTTTCATTTGGCTCAGCGTAATGTTCTCAAGGTTCATCCATTTGGTACATGTATCACAGCTTCACTTCTCTTTATTGCTGACTAATACTCCATTGTATGCATACACCACATTTTGTTTATCTATTCATCAGTTGGTGGACAGTGGGTTGTTTCTACCTTTTGGCTATTATTAGTTATACATATTAAATGAAATGTGGTCCGATCTTTTGTGTGAGAGGAAAATAAAAGAGAAGTATTGGCCCAATGAAAATATGGCTTGTGCTTTTTACTGTTACTGTATGTGAACTCTCCGTACCTCCGATTAGAGTTTCATTGTTTCTTATCAATTTTCAAGGATATTTCAGGAATATATGGAATGTTTTTGTTATGAAATTATAATTAAGAGTAAAATATTATAATTAATAGTTTTTTGTTTGGGTCCTGAAAATAAGGTGTAATTATTTTACTGGTTTCTATCCTATGTAATTGAACATCTAAAATGAGATTATATCTTATAGATATGTATATCAGCTATTATTCTTATCAACTGGACTTTAAGAACATTATTTTAAAACAGGAAAGAATCAAATATAATTATAATTAAATATAATGTGGAAGTACATGGAGTTTGTTAAAAGTTAGCAACTTTTCTTGATACTCATTCTTTCTTGTCCTTAAGATCTTTAAGTAGTAGTAGTACAGTTTAATTTGAAATGTCACATTATAAAACAATATTCAAAGACTCATTCAATAAATCCATCACTCACTAACTAGGTGTGGGGCTCTGTGCTGGCACTTTGAAAACAGGCTGACTTGAACCAGTTCATCAGTAAGTTCTTACCTATTGGCATCTGCACACTTGACTAGAATGGTGTCTACAACTGGTCGGAGAAGTCTCTGAAGTTTGATTCTTTCTGCCAAACTGTGGCAAGGAGTATATACCAGCATGGCTCTTAATGTTTTCTGAAGATAGAAAAAAACTGAAGGTCAATTTAACTACAATTAAAAAGCATTTGAGACAATGGCCTAATCTGGGACAATTTGAACAACAAAAATAATGATGGCAGGAACAGATTATAATCCATAGAATAAAACAAAAATCCATGATGGAAACAGATAATTAATTAAACACAGTGCTAATAACTGTTCTGGGCAAGAATGAATCATGAAGGGATGCTAAATTAATGGGAAAAATCAGGGTGAGAAAGTAGATATTTACATAGATTCAAAGTATCTTCCCACAAGACAGTCTTTAGTTACAAGGGGAAGAAAGTTAACGTCACAGTGAAAACACCTTGAAGACAGAGTTTCACCAACTGGTTAAAGTTAATAGCATCAGTAAGAGGACAAATCAATCTTGATATGATGATCAAGACACATGTACCTCTTGGTATGATGTACTGAGAAGGATACAACATCAATTCTGTGGTATTCTTCCCCCAATGACACATGCTCTGAATTTAATCACGAGGGTGCACTACATAAATCCAAACTGAGGGAAAGTCTATATTGTTGTTGTTGTTGTTAGGCGCCGTCAAGTCGGACCCCACTTATAGTGACCCCTCCTTGAGTTTCCGAGGCAGTTTCACTATGGAAGTAGACTGCCCAACCTTCCTTCCGAGAAGTGGCTGGTGGGTTTGAACCACCAGCCTTCTGGTTAGCAGTCAAGTGCCTTAGGCACTATGCTACCAGAGCTCCTTAGAGGGAAAGTCTATAGAACAACTGAATTAAAAATATCAAACTCATGTAAGACAAATGACAGACTGAGGAACTATTCTAGATTGAAGGAGACTACGAGACATGACAAGTCAATGCAATGCATGATCCTGAACTGAACGCTAGACCAGAAAATGAGTATTAGTGGGACAAATGGTATAATATGAATAACTGTAGACAATCACACTATATCAATATTAATTTTCTCTCCATTTTTGTAACTGTACCATGGTTATGTAAGATGTTAAAATATGTGGATTCTGAATAATAATAGCTGCTAAATACATACAGCCATAGTTCTTACAGTGTGCCAGATAGGATGATAAGTTTTTACTCAATCTTATTTCAAATCTGAAAGGTAAATATTTTCATCCTTTTATAGGTGAGAAAACAAGAGGGTAAGTAATTTTCCTGAAGTCACACTACTAGCAAACAGCAGAAGCAGAATTTGAACTAAGGTCTCCATGATCTAGACCATATGTCCAATTGCCTGGGCTGGTTCTAGTTTAACCAGCAGATGATTTAAATGTCCCAGTTTGGATGACAAATTCTAAGGACACCCAGTTTTAACCCTGAGTCCAAAACCATCACGTTACACTACCTCTCAATTAGATTCATTAGGGACAATTATTACATTATAATTGGATTATTACATTAATCCAATTTGGCTGGATTAGAAAAAAAATGAGAGTGACAGCAGAGAGACCAGTGAGTTTTTACAACAGACTAGGAAAGAATTCTGCCAAATCCGTGGTTCTGATTTTGTCCTCTGCGTGACAGGCGGCAATTCCTGGAGACAATTGTGTTTGTCCTGACTTTGGGGTGTTTGCTACTGGTTATCTAGCAGATAGAGACAAAGGGTGTTGCTAAACATCCTACAATGCACAGGACAGTGCTCTCCTCCATCCCAAACAATTCTGTGGCCCAAGGCCAACGGTGCCAAGATTGAGAAACCCTGTTCAAAAGAGGTAGCTATTCAGTAGGCAGAAAGCAGAATCAGGCTCCAAAATTACAAACAGAACATCATCTTAGTCACTTCACCCCAATAATGAAAGACAACTTCTAACAAGTTAAACCAGGAGAACAATACACAGTCTGTCACAGAACTTTCTGTAAAATAGCTCCTTAATTTCCATGCTAAAGTGTTTATTAAAAATTAACTCTCCATAATGTCTATTAATAAAACATAAAAAAAACCATGAACTGAAAGTAACTTTGATCATCTTGCTATCTCATTAAGCACTTCTAATTTGGCCATATGTAAATTCTTTGCTCAGGAAAAATGTAAAAATATAAATGGAAACACAATGCTACTTAAAAGGGAGAAAAGTAAGCAATAGTATAGGTAGTTCCTGATTTACAATAGAGTCAGGTTAAACGAATAGCACTTACAGTAATCCGTTTTTTATATATATTATCATTAGTAATATGTACTACATACAGTGTGGCAGTGTGTAATTGCTATGTTAGTTAGTATTCTCACACCAACCCCCAAACACAAATAAAGATCGGATTTATAAAGATACTGATAATAAAAGGCAATAATAACAAGATATTCTCTTTACTTCAGAACTGACTCACAAGGTAGTTATTGGAACAGAAGCCCATTGTAAGTTGGGGACTACCTGTATAGAAGAAAACCTGTAGATACAACATGTCGATCAAGGATTCTACAGAAGAACCCTGATCAAAAGTAGGGAAATGTAGAATAGAATTTCAAATTCTCAAGGACTCCAGACTTTCTGGAAACTGAAACTACTGCCCTAAATTAATCTTTAAACCTTAAACCAAAAATATCCCCTAAAGTCTCGTTAAAGCGAAACAGTAGTTTAACCAGGGAAAATGTCTGCCTTGAGCATTGTGCTCTTTAAGAAACTGTATATGGAGTCAGACTGACAACAGCGACTCAAGAGATAAGACAGGAACCTTAGTGGGCAGTGAGCTTATTTTTAATGGGAGGGAACAACTCAAAAAAGGTAGTGAGAAAGGCTGCAGAATGCAGTGTATCAGTGTCACTGAGCCACATATTAAGAAACTGATGAACTGGTGCACGTTTTCTTGCATATATTTTCAGCAACAAATAAAATTTAAAAATAACAAAATTACAGAAAAATAGAAAATTTCTAGAGATTAAAATCAGTAAAACTCAAATGAAGAGATGTAAATGGAAAAATATAATTTCCTGGGATTACAGAGTACAAATCTACCATTTGTCTGTCACTTTGTCACACTGTGGTGGCTTATGTTGCCATGAGTTGGAATCGACTCAATGGCAGTGAGTTTGGTTTGGTTTTATGTTGCTATGGTGCTGGAAGCTATGCCACTGGTATTTCAAATACCATCAGGGTTAGCCATGGTTGACAGGTTTCAACAAAGCTTCACACTAAAACAGATTAGGAAAAAGGTCTGGAGGTCTACTTCTGAAAATGAGCCGAAGACAGCCTACGGATCACACAATTCCAGTGTAATGCTGGAAGATAAGCCACCCCTAGGTTGGAGGGCACTCAAAGTACTATGGCCTCCACAATGGACTTAAGTATATCAACGAATGTGAAGATAGGAGTAGGACTGGACAATGTTTTGTTCTGGTACACGTAAGATTACCAAGCTCTATAGGAGCTCTGGTGGCACAGTGCCTAAGGCACTTGACTGCTAACCAGAAGGCTGGTGGTTCAAACCCACCAGTCAGTCCTCGGAAAGAAGACTGGGCGATCTACTTCCGTAGTGATACCATCTCGGAAACCCAAGGAGGGTTTGCTATGAGTTGGATCCGACTCCACGGCAGTGCAATTTTATAGCAACTAACAACATAGAATAAAAATAAAACGTGGATTTTCTGAAATCAAATTAGATAAGGTCATTACACTGTATCTTAAAAACATTATCTATAAAACATTAAAAAATAACCCACAATGATATGGTTATGAATAAAACTACTTACTAAAGCAGCAACGTACACTTTGTAGACAGGGTCAGCACAGACCATGGACAAAATGTTGCAGCACGCCTCCACCACATCTCCTGAGATACTGGTTTGGGAAGACCCACTGGCGGCTCCAGCACTTGGGCTGCTTCCACTGCTACCCCCTGAATTTCCAGTGCTCTCCCCATTTGCCAACAGTAGGGCCCCACTAACATCGTGGGAAAGACGTCGGAGGGCCATCTCTCTTACATTCCAGTTTCTAGAAAATAAGCAGCCAACGAGTTCCATTCCAAACACCTATATCAAAGAAACACAACAAATGCAGTGTGAAGAAAAACTAACGAAACCAGAAGATTGTGAGTTAAACTTCATTTCTGATCACTAAAGAAAAATTTTATACTCAAGTTTAACTGGTAACTATCAAAAGTCATTAACATTCATTAGTTCAAGTTAAATTAAGAGTAAATTCTCAAGTAATTTGATGGCTATTCAGGTATTTCTATGTCTAACTGCTCCCTCTACCCCTACGCTCACAACACAAAATGGAACGGTGAAGGATCTCAACGTTGTATTCATATTAAGGTAGCTTACAGAGGACAAATTTTTGAAGCAAAATCTAGAAAAGAACAAAAATCTAGGGAAGTCAAGACAGGAACCAGATCTTTCAAAAAATGAAGTGTTGCTCTTATAGATGACAGCATTAAGTCAGAGACCTTAAGTTACTTTATTTCTGTCTTGAACATACAGGTTTGAAAAAAAAAAGCACTACACACAAAATAGAGGGGATTAGAATAGAGTGGAAAAATAAAAAAAACTAAAGGAAAAATGCTTGTGTCCAAATCAACAAAGGATAATGACATGTGCATGTGGTTACAATCACTACCAGATTTCCAAAGTCACAGACTCTCTGAAGAAAAGAAAGGGCAAACAGTTTTGACATTAAAGGCCAATTAGCTAAAATGAATTTAATGCCTAAGATAATTTACCATCTGAAAAACTTGTAAATACTAAAGATAAACATAATTTTGGGGAAAACAAAGCATGACATATTTCTATTTTTTCTGTTAAAAAATAATGGTAAAGAGAATAAATCAATGAGAAAACACTAAACTTCTTATGTGTTGGCAGTGTCAGCAGCATTCCACCATTTAAGTCTTAATTTTGTCTTACATAATTAACTTAAGAAACTAGGAATATATAGCCTATTCCAAACCAGTGTTTAAACAAAACAAGCCAGCAGGCTGCCTAGAAAGAGGGGCACCCAATTGCTTAGTATCAACTTGAAAATTCTTATCACGAGGTCTCATTAAGGGGAAAGTAAGGCTCTATGTAAAATACCATTAATGATCTGGACATATAAGATATGTTTATTAAGTTTTCAGACTTTATTAGATTCATGATGAGTTGCTAATATGCTGAGAAAAGAATTCAAACCCACCAGCTGCTCCACAGGAGAAAGATGAGGCAGTCTGATCTCTGATTTATAGCCTTAAAAACCTTGAGGCAGTTCTACTCTGTTCTATAGGGTCACTATGAATTAAAATCAACTCGTCAACAATCGGATTTTTTTTAAAATACTCTAATGGTCACAAAAAAATGGAAACATATCCTAGTGATACACAGCCTAGTGAGTTAATTTACAAATTTAACAGTAACAGCAAACAAGAGTCTCAAAAATAATAATTTTACTTCACTAGCAACTACTGGTGGGAGCTCTGGTGGCATAGTGGCTAAGGCATCTGACTGCTAACCAGAAGGCTGGAGGTTCAAACCCACCAACCAATCCTCGGAAGGAAGACTGGGCAATCTATTTCTGTAGAGGTAGTGCCTTGGAAACTCAAGGAGGGGTCACTATGAGTAGGAATCGACTTGATGGCAGTGGGTTTGGTTTGGTGGTTTATATACTGTTCTATACCTTTATATATAGAATGGTGAAACTGAGTTTAAATGGCAACAAATGAGAAAAATGTCAGAAAAATTTTTAGCAGGAATAGGGATTAAACATTAGAATGATTTCTTTGGATACGCTTTTATGTCTATTAGCTCAGGAAGAGATGTTTCTAGGGATGAGAGGTTAGAGCACAAAGAATTTTTGAGGTTTGCTTTAAAATCTACAATAAGTAGCAGAGTACTAACACCAAAAGTAAAATTAAAATTTTCAAGATAGGCAAGCAAAAGTTATTTTCTTAAATTGTAAATAACTGGGGGTGGGAGGGGAGACAACTGTATTAATTGGTCCATATTTCCAAAGAAGAACAAAGAATTATTTACCTGAATCCAGGGCTCAGCTAAGTCTTTACAAGCAGGAGGGATCTGCTGAGTTCCATAATGAGGAAGGTTAAAATTGCTCTCTTGACTCCTTCTTTGTGACCCAGCTAAAGGCTGCTGTTGTATGGTTTGCTGCTGTGCAGCTCGGAGAGAAGATGGGGTATCCACAGGGCTTGACAACTCATGGCTAAAATGAAAATCAACACAGTTTGCCAAGAAAATTAACAAGTTTGAATAAGAACATTTTTATTTTATTTCAACTTTTTATTGTGATTTGGGTGTAAATTTACAAAGAAGATTTTTTTTGCTCTCAACAGTTCATGCACATTTGGTTTCCCAGCCCCATTTCAACCCTGACAATAAAATGCTCTCCTCCCATCTCCTCTCTGGGATTACCCGCTGCAGTGTAGTAAATTACTTAGTATGGCTTTTCTACCCATAAGTCATTGTAAACTCAGTGGTGGAATGAGCAACTGAGGAGCTGATTGTAAATGTTATCCACCTGGAGTATTTCTGTTGGGCGTGGCACAATACAATGTTCTGGGGGGTGCCCACTTTCTCTCAGGTGCTTAGAGTTCTGATGCTATGATTGGCTAGTTTGACCACCCTGCCCGGCTCAAAAGGAGGCCTCCTGGAAGCAGAACTCTCTCTGACTGCTGGTGGAGGAAGACGTGCTGCTGAAAGAGACACGTGCCCCTGAAAGAGACACGTGCTGCTGGGAAAAAGACATGAGAGACATGCATTGCTGAGTGAGACACCGAGGGACCAGCACTGCTGGGAAAGAGACTGTGAGAGACTCTTGGCTGAGGGACGGTGGGCTGGGAGAGAGACTGAGCGTTCTTCCTGAACTTGAGTTGTAGCCTGGTGCTTCCCTAATAAACCCTGTAATCTGTGAGTTCTGTGTGGCCAAGGCAGTGAATTATCGAACCCAGGAGAGAGGTGGTGGGTGCTTTGGGAGGAACGGTTGGTGAAAGGGCTGGAGGGAGGCAGCATGTTTGGCCTTGCAGTAATAGGCCTTGGGTTACTGCTGTCTTCCTCTTGTGAGATTAGAGGAGGTCAGAACATGTGGCCTCCTTGCTGTTTTTGCACCCGCCCTCCCAGTGCCCTTCATATCTATGCAGTCCTGTCTGTCCAGTTTTCCCTCTATGCAAATGCTGCCCTTCTGATCTCTCATGGTTGACTGATCTAAGGGGTACATCTCCCTGGGGTAGGTAGGTGCTTTTGCTTGCAGGCCTTCCTGTTGTCTGGCTTAAGAGTTAATCCATGGAAGTGAGTCTAGTTCCAGGCCTGAAAGATAACCCAAAGCCACAGTCTCGGGGGTTCCACCAGCCTCTATCTGACCAGTAATTCTGGTCATTTCTACATTTTTATTTTCTGTTAAACATATACAAACCATTAATTCAAAATTATTACCTATAGAAATCATGGGATCTCCACTTAGACCTACAGAGGGGACAGATTAAAGGTTCATTATTTCTTCTACATTCTTCTGCCCCTGGAAAATTAAAAATAAGAAAAAACTTACAAAACTGCAAACAATTATTTACATACACACACACACACACACACGTACATATGTAATAACAACAGGTTATTCTGATGTGTGTAGTTTTTGTGAATACCCTTTTGTTAGTTATGATAATATGTACTTGCTTACTAATCTTCAAAACCTTCTACATCTACCTGGCAATGCCATTCTAAGCCTTGCTTTGGTGTTACTCTGTAACACCTGCCCAGGCCTTCTTCCACCTCCTTTCCTCCCTGTACACTTTCCAGACCAGGTTTACATTTCCACTCCTGTGTGCTCTATCACCACATGCATCAGAGTGCATTGCATTTCTTTGCTCACAACAGATCATCTTTTAACAGATCCTAAACTTCAGTTTGCTGAAGACTTCACTTAAGGCTGACATGTATTTTTTGCTTTTCTGGCCAAACTCTTGACAAGCCATGGTCAAATCCTAAATAATGTAACTAGTTTGTAGAGTAACCATTTTAAATAAGCATAAGAAGAAAAATAGCCACATACAAATTGACATGCAGTGGTGGTGCAGCTTGTTCCTGCAGCCATCTTCACACACTGTAAGACTTTCTTCATCAAGCATGCCCAACAAGCAAATAGGACACATCTGTTCGTCTTCATCTTTTATACTGTAGGAAGGGAAAGAGAAAGCATTAAATATACAGTAACAATAATGCAAGAATTAATGCCATATGCTGAAATCAATTTCTGCTTATTTATAATATGAACAAATTAACTAGAAATTCTTAAGAGCATCTTATACAGCTATTTGAGACACAGTTCTCAAATAGCTATATTTCTCCTATCAAAATATAGCAATTTTAAATGAGATTCACATACCTGTATATTTATAGACTGTGGGGTAAGCTAACCTGTTCTTGGTATAGATACAATTTAGTTATGAGCTACAATCTTACAGAAGATATACAGTGTTGCAAAAATTTTGCTATTACTAATTCCCACCATGAAAACCACTTCCCTCTGCTATGAGATCAGAACTGGATGATGCCCAACTACCATTACTGAACATTTTGATCAAAGATTCCATAGACGAATCCTGATCAAAAGGGGGAAAATATGGAACAAAATTTCAAATTCTCATGGACTTGAGACCTTCTGGAGTCATGAAGGGTAGATAAACTCCTGAAACTACTGGCCTGAGATGATCTTTAAACCTTAAATATTTAAAGAACATTTCCCCTGAAGTCATCTTAAAACTGAACAATAGTGTGGCTTAACTAGTCGCAAAGGTTTGTGTTGAACATTCAGCTCTTTTAAAAACGATACGGGATCAAATTGACAATAGCAACTCAGAAGATTAGACAGGAAAGATAGGAAGCTGCAAGTTTATGTTAATGAGAACAACTCAGAAAGGAAGGTGAAAATGGTTGTAATCAATGTTACTTGCAGACAATGTAAATTGTACTTGCATACACTGCTGAATGGGTGTATGTTTTACTATGTATATTTTCAATAACAACAAAATAAAATTTAGGAAAAAAAATTTGCTATCATACTTTCTGAATAAACAAACTGCTTTAAGGTTTGACTATGTGAAAACATGCAACCTTTAACCACATGGCATAGTTTAAAGACTTCCATCACTGAAAGGGACCTTAGAGCTCATGTATCCATCATTTTACTTCTGAAGGTCCCTCTCAGCTTATTTTTGGAAGGAGCAGAAACTGTCCAACTCTCCCAGAAAAAACTAGAAAAGTATTTCACATTTTAAATGTATACAATCTTTTACCAGGAAACTAGATGTCTAGGAACCTGTCATAAGGAAATAAAAAGACAAATACATAAAAAATATTCACTGCAGAATTATTCAGCATCATGAAAAAAATGTAAACAACCAAATGAATAATTAGTTGCACACACACACAATTATGGTACAGTTAGGCACTATGGAGCTTTTTAAAAGATCAACTAGATCCATAAATAATGACAAAGAAAGTTGTTCACAATATACTCTGTGACAAAAAAAAGCAAGTAAGTCTAATAGGTACAGGATGATTCCATTTATGGCAAAAATGCAACTATAATGGGCAACGTATGTGAGATATATATAACATACTCATAAAAACAAACAAAAACCCCAAAATCACTGTTATCAAGTTGATTCCAACTCACAGTGACCCCCATTGGGTTTCCAAGGTGGTAAATCTTTATGGAAATAGACTGCTGCACCACTTTCCTTCTCCAGAGCAGCTAGTAGGTTTGAACTGCCAGCTTTCTGGTTAGCAGTCAAATGCCTTAGGCACTGCACCACCAGAGCTCCTTATAACATATTGTATATAACACTGTATATATTTGTATGTTCCTAATACACAAAGTGCTTTTAAAAAAATCTGTAAGAAAATTATTGATAGCTCAATAGTGAAATGGGCAAAGACAAAAAGGCACTGGGATAAAAAATACCAATTGCTAATAAACATGAAGAAACATTTAATTTCACTGCTTGCTCTGTCTTGTCCCCCTGGCTTGGCTTTCCTTTCCCCCGCTTTCCCTTAATTTCACTATTAAGTACAAAATGCATATTAAATCAATGAGGTCATACCTTATTTCTTTTAATTTATGTTTTTAGATAATCTGATTGGCAGAATTAAATAGACTGGTAACATCTGGAACTGATAATGTCATAGGAAAACAAGTTCTCATATATATTGCTGCTGTTGTTGTTGTTTTGTGCTGTAGTCGGACCCGACTCATAGCAACCCCTCCTTTGGGTTTCTGAGGCAGTATCTCTATTGAAGTAGATTGCCCAACCTTCCTTCCGGGAAGTGGCTGGTAGGTTTGAACCGCCAGCCTCCTGGTTAGCAGTCAAGTGCCTTAGGCACTAAAATCTTGGAAAGGAATTTTCTAGTTTTTCTTAAAATGTTAAATGTCCATAGCCATGAAGTAAAAATTCTATTTTCTAGAATGCTATTCTATAGATACATGTAAAAAAAGGAAAAGAAAATTTATTGCATTTAATAAACAAAAAAAGTAGGGATGTACTAAATGTTAAAGTTATTAACAGTATTTCCATTAAAACAGAAAGACAAGACCTGAGATGTTAAATAACCCACCTAAGGTCATAAAAATTCATCTGTGGCAGAGCGATTATTAGACTTTAAGGTCGGAGAAGAATAGACCTTAACCTACCTACCCTTACAAAGCCCAGATTCTCTAAGCTCAGGTTTTCCTCTTGGCCCAGTACTGAATTCTACTGTCTTAAACTGTAATTCCTGAAAAACAGGTCTGAGTGACCGACAGCAAAATAACCAGTTCTCCAAGTGCACAAAACACTCTCCCAAAAAGGTGAACAAACAGGTCAGCAAAGACATGTGGGACTCCCAAGGTACAGATACACTAGAGTTTCTCCCTCCCATCTTAACTGCTCCAGCTCTCTTCATTTTATTTTTACAGAGCTAGCTGGTGGAAAAAAGCTGTCAAATTATGCATGCATTAATGGAAAAAAAAAAAAACAAAAAACTGCCAACAACATTATAGAAACGATGTATACAAAAATCTGTTATAACAATACTTATGGATCATTCACCAAAGAGGGTACTAAAATGGCCAAACAGCACATGAAATATACTCAGATTTTTAGTGGTTACCAGGAATGGCAGGGCAGGGGATAAGGGAGTTTTCCTTAGGGGGCGCTGAGGTGATGTTAACCGTGGTGGACTAATTTGGAAAAGGATAGCAAGAACGGTTGCAAAACTTGAACGTAATCAATGTCACTGAATTATACATGTAGAAACTGTTGACCTGGCAAATGTTTTGTGATATGTATTTTCACTACAATAAAAATAAATAAGTAAAAATAACATTATTCAGGGCCAACTAACTTTTGAAATAACTATACCAAAATGACTTTATTGAAAAGACTTAGGAAAATCAGATTCCGCAATTTACTCAAGTTGCATGTCAAGGGCAACTTACTAATTATTGTTGACTAAAACATTAACATTCTATTTTATTTAAAGACGGGTTATTTCCTGCCCATCTTTTTCCAAGTATACATTTTGTAAGCATCAGTCAGATTACCTATATACATGTATAATTTCAAACCCTTAAAAACTTCATCATAAAAATTCCATTTGTCAAACATAACTTTTAATGGTTGTGTAATTTTCCACTGATTAGCTAGAGTCTAACTACTTAAGCATCCATTTATTGTTGGACATTTGAGTTGTTTCCATATTTTAAGAAACCATTATAAACATCTTTTTGATCACTTTTTCTATGTTGTTGTTGTTGTTGTTAAGTGCCGTCGAGTCGTTTCCGACTCATAGCGACCCCATGAACAGCAGAACGAAACACTGCCCGATCCTGCGCCAGCCCCACAATCCCTGCTATACTTGAGCCCATCATCGCAGCCACCGTATCAATCCATCTCGTTGAAGGCCTCCCCCTCTTTCATCGACCCTCCA